GGAGGGCGGGTAGTACAGTCTAAGCTTGTACGGAAGTAAGTCTTCAACGCAATACGGTTTACATCTCACAATTTTTCGCGGGATGTTTTATACTTTTGCAAACTCTAAAAGTGCCCTTGAGATGTATGAAACAAACAAAAATAAAAAACAAAACATAAAAAAACAAAAAAAAGAGGATTTTTCACTTGATTGCAATTTCATCTTCGGTTCCGGAAAATGCAACGACTTCTCGTTAAAATTTCCGCCATCAGCAGATAAAGTTTGATTCAAGTTGCGTGGAGAAAAATGGGTTCAGAGAGGAAGCGATGTCAGAAACATTCTTGTTTAAATTTTCTTTCACTTTGGGAGCAATGAGCTAAATATTTAGTTTAATTTTTCAGGAAAAATGAAAGCTTGGTGTACATTAATCATGGTTCAAAGCGAAGGAGTCGCAAAATGATGTTTGGTGAACTCCCATTGACACGCTACGCTTTCTGATAAACAACCTTCACTGAAAAAGGAAAAGTTGAATTTGTCTCTGTTAGATACCTCTTTCAAAATTTCTTTTTTATGTACTATTGGCTTTCCTGACTAAGCAATGTAAACTTTGAGAACGAGAAGACTTAGTAAACGTTACTGTGATTTGTTAAGATAATCACGTTATGCTGGTGTTGATACAATAACATCAGTGAACCTTGGGTCGCGACATGCATGTGAAAACAATCTCCAACTGCTTTTTAGCAGAGGTAGTTTACGGAACAAAGAGTTCAGAAACCCACAAATTGCACGCAATGCGGTACGTATTTGCTTCAAAGCACGCCCAAAGGAAAGACTTGAAACCGAATTTTGACTGATTGGGGTTAGACTAAAAATTGTGGGCGATGTTGTCTTACACAATTTAAAATTCAATACATAAAAAGCACGCAAAACAACTGAATGACATGAATTTGCCTCCCCGTTCTTAAATTAAAACTCACGGGTTAGAAGTCTAAATTAATCTTAGTTGATTGTTAAGAGAGAGATTTAGGCAATCAAATATCTTAGGTTTCCGCGTTCAAATTGGGCTGCAAACACGATTTTAGGGTCAATTTGAAATTGGCATAAAATTACTTACAGTTGTATTTCTCCACATTTTATCCTTATCGAGAAAAAGGTAGAATTTGGTAGAATTTGGAGGAAAACACAACAATTATTTTATCTTAGAAAGCGTCAGGAAGCGCTTCTGCAGGCCAACAAAGAAATACGAAAACCATAGAATCATGAACACCATGGAAAGGTAAAAGATGTGAACAAAACATTTCATTGGTAGTGTCGATTCATAGCACCTCATTACTTCTCGTTTGGTTTGTTAGTTACGCAGATAGACAAGCTCAAAAATAGTTGAAGACGATATCTTAGAATGATAAAAAGTTGTACGACGAGGATCATTAAAGAAAATAATTTGAAACTTAGTTTGATTGTTAATTATAATAATTTGATAACTTTCATTTTCTAAAGAATTATGTATTTGCACGATTTGAAACAAAAAAAAATAACCAAAAAAATTATGTATGAATCGAAACAGCGTATTTTTGTGCTTATTTATGTTGTTGTCATTACCATTGTCTTTTTGTTTACCTCACAACAATTTCTTAGTGGCAGCTGTTATGGAATATGAAGAAAACATATTCCTGTAGTCTTAACTATGGACTACTTGCAATATGACTCATCTCGCCATGCTTTCAAAACGTTTTTTGCAAAGTTGATGCGGCTTGCGTGTTCCGTTTGAAGGCAAAAATGTATTGAAAGAAGCAGTGAGGCCGGGACTAAGATATTTAAATTTCTTTTAAAGACTCAATTAGGAATCTGTGGTACGAGATATTTGATGGAAAGTGATGGTGGTGAGTAGATTTATTATGTTTAACTGCAATGTTATTTAGATGAATTTTATTGGTTTTCTTTGCGTCTCCTGTTTACTATTTTAGTTCCGTGTCAGAATGGGATGTGGAGAAAGTAAACCTGTTGTTATTCCACAAGAGAGACAAGAAAAGCCAGAACGAGTAGCTGCTTATGGATTGCCTTCATTTGAAGGTCGTTATCAAGTAACACGCCAAGAGCTCGAACCGACGAGAGCGCTAGAATATAACAACAACTCGGTTATTTATCAAGAGCAGATTTCTTTAATAGAGAAGACTTGGGACCTTGCAGGCAATGACCTTGAAAAATTGGGAGTAGACTTCTACGCTAGGTAATGCATCAAATGAAATTTTACAAACTTGTTGAGTTGATAATTCAAAAGTTAGCCATCTCCAACTCTCAAGTTTTGCAATTTTATGTCTTGTGATAATTTGTATCAGTTTCAGTTTATTCCAGTTTCGTGCAAGTTTCGATAAGTCCAATTTGTCTGTCGTAAAACGTGAACAAAGTGATTGCAACGAGAACTCATGGGAAATTTAGGTGATCAACCCGACAAGCGGAAAAATATGAGCAACCAAATCCAATTGCTTCTAATTAGCTGGTTGACTAGCGAAAGTTTTATTTTCGTAACCAATCACAGAGCTTAGTAATTAAAACAGGAAAATAAATCTAGGGGCCAATGAGAACGAAAAGTAAAAACAGGCATATTGCTTAAGTGCAGGAAAGTGACCAAGTCGGTTTAAGTTTTGGCTGTGATTGGTTGCGAGAGAGGGTGGTGCAAATTTTCTGAACCAATCACCTGGTTTGGTGAAGTAAAACCAGAGCAGTCCCAAGTCATTGATTAATCTTGATTAATCATGATGTTACTAATCTATGCAATCGTTTAATGCTCCCCTAACCAGTAGTCACCGCTTTGCCCTTTTACGTTTAGATTGTTCAAAGAGGATCCTGGCCTTCTTCGCCTGTATCCATATATGTATGATCAATGGAGCTACGTCATGAGAGTCAACGATAGAGTCAAGCGAAAGGGACTGGTAACCATGCAACATGTTGATGAGGTAGTATCATCGCTGAATGACCCAGGCTTCTGTGAACAGTTCCAAAGAGACTTTACATTCTGCCCCCGCAGAACGAAGGTGTGCAGTCTCACAAGCTCAGCAGTATAAAGTTTTTATGAGGGTGTATCACGCAAGTGATTAGTCTGGTGACTTGGAAGTCTTAAATTCTGATAATCTTCGTAAAATTAAGAGACAATAACTCCATTATGTGCATGGGGTTTGTAAAAACGGTGAAAGGAGTTAGTTGGAGGGAATAGGTAATTTTTTTCTGCATTTGTTCATCATAGGCACGATACATCAAATTTTTGGAACAGCAATTCCATTAGATTTTTCCTATCAAAGTAAAAATATACCTGAAAAAAGTTGTACCTACTTCTTTTCAAGTTGACTTGTTGTAGTCGGTGAAAAGTTCTCATTGAAAGCAAGTAATTCCTGTTATTTCTCTGACTCGTCTTGACTCATACTATGATTTCTAATTAGTAGCAACTGGTTTGTTTCTTTGTAACAGTCTGTGGGGACTGCACTTATTTTTGCACTCGATAAGAACCTGGGAAAGAGATTCACCCCAATAGTGAAAAATGCTTGGACAGTTGTTTACGGAATTCTGGCCGAAAATTGTCAGGATCAGATGAGTAGAGAACACATGACACTGGTGCAGGACTCTTGGCACCTACTCAAGGGAAATCTGGAAGGAATGGGAGTGGACTTTTATATCAGGTGTGAGTGCGAAAATATAAACCATAGAGTAGGTTGAGTTAACAAATGGTAAACCCCACAGCTACTGAGTTATGGATGCACGCGGGAGGTTGTTGAGCAAGAAAGAAGCGTAAGAGTAGAGAGAGGCGACAGCCGAGAGCGACTCAAGCTTCTTGAATGCACTAACCATTAGGCCACAGGTTTTCTAGAAAAGTCGCAAAAATGATCATCACTTGTTAATTTTTTTTAGATACCTCCAAATTTAACGCTTTGGTGATGTCGAACCATCAAATAATAACTTAAAATCCCCATTCACCCCTAGAGATTTATAGATATTTCCATTTTTTTCGTTATCAGGATTAATTTCAAAAAAAAAAATTCTTTTTGATTGATTAGATATTCCCCGAGATATGCCGCCTCAAAGTTCGTCCCTTTGGTCACGCCCTCTTGATTTGGCCGGACGAAGTCCCTCATGACGTCACAGCCAGAACATCTTTGGATCGATGTGCTTACATTCACGGTATTTTATGGAGGAATATGTCTTTAGACGAATCTGGTGTATTTGAGCAACCAGCGACCACGCAACGAGTCGGCATTTTCACATCATTTTACAGCAATAGACACATGTTCTTATACAAGAAGTTAACATTCGTTCTTGCTGTGACGTCATTGAGAAGTAGTAGGTCCGAGACTCGGCCCAGTAATTGTCTCCCGGCCAAGTCAAAAGGGCGTGGCCAATAGAGTAACTTTGAGGCGGCATATCTCGGGAAATATTTAATCAGTCACAAAATTTTTTTTTTTGGAGATTAATCTTGATAACGCAAAGAATCGAAATATATATTAATCTCTGGAGGTACAAAGTGAATAGGGACTTAAAAGGATAAAGAAAGTATTTCTGGTTTGAACTCGTGGTCTAAGTTGAAGGAATAGAAGGATAGGCGTTGACACAGGAAATGGAAGAGTTTTATGTCTGTACTTTTATGACAAAAGTCAAAAATTCTGATGCACTCTTTTTCTGTTGGTTACACGATTATCTAATCTTTTCACACCAAAGGGCGTATTTAAATGTCTCTAATCCCCTCGGAATTTGCCCCAGTCCCCACGCAAATGAATTCCCAAATGGGTAAATCAATTTCTGTTCTGTTTCTACTTTTTATTTTTTTGTTCAGCTTATACAAGGAGAACACAGACCTACTGTGTCAGTTCCCTTACATGTCTGAACAATCTACTGAGCATGTCATGAACATGGACGACCGAGTTAAGAGAAAGGGACTGGTTACGGTGCAACATGTTAAAGAGGCTGTGACGGCACTTCGCAACCCAGGCTCCTGCGTTCATCATCAGAAAGCATCGGGTTTCTGTCCTCGCAACTTACAAGTAGGTTGTCTAGCGCAATGGCGAATCTGAGAATCCCTGTCAGTGTGGCATTTCGAAGGAGGTTGATCGTCCATGGTAGAGTTCATTCCTTAGTGTTGCATCGTGACCCGCACAGTTTTGGATCCTTTCGGGGAATTTTTCTTGTCTTGTCTGGACTTACCGTCGGTTTTACTATAGCAAATATTCCGTGCATGGTGCACCTCTTAGAGTTATATGGAAAGAAATGTCCTTTGATCTAGATGTGAAGTGTTCGATACTGAGTTCTGAGCGTCAAGATTTGCGTTTACATGGGAGAAAGTTTATTTTCTGATGGGTTGATTTCGTCAAGCAGAATAACGACACAATTTCGTAAGCATGGGTCCTATAACTGCGAGGCTAATTTGATCGATTTTTAAAAACTCTATTTCATGAATTAAAATTCTGTATAAAAATCTTATAAACATCATTTACGATGATAAGTATTGTTTTTGTTGCCAAAGGTGTAGCATGAGCAAATATGGTTTTCTTTTCCATTTTCAGTCGGTGGGTGGGGCGCTTCTTTACTCGCTCGATAAAAGCTTGGGACAAAGTTTTACCTCAAAAGAAAAAGACGCCTGGTGTACAGTGTATGGAATAGATGTTGCGACCATTGGGAGCCAGACTCCCCTAATTCAACAACAGATCTTACTAATGCAGGAAAGCTGGGCACTAGTAAGTGACGACCTAGAAGGACTTGGAGTCGAGTTTTTTGTTACGTAAGACATTAGATTTGTCTTGACAATTTTTTTTCTCGTAAACTGGATTTTGACTATAAAGACATTATATTTCGGATAATTAACAGACAACTTGCCCCTTAATTGGTCATTTTCATTATTGTTTCGACGCGAGGCAATCTCCATTTAGGTTTTTTTTTTTTTTTTCATTAGGTCGTTTAAAGAGGATCCCGGCCTGTTACAACTGTTTCCATATATGGACGATAAGAAGACTCATTGCGGCATGAAAATTGACGAACGCGTAAAGAGGAAGGGAGTGTTAACTATGCAGCATATTGACCAAGCTGTGTCGTCTTTAAATGATCCAAATTCACGTCTTCATTTTCAAAAGCTATCCATGTTCTGCCCACGTAAATTAAAAGTGAGTAGCCTCGCATTGCTATTAATGCTATATTTTACATGGATGCCAAATTTTCACGTACCTAGGCTACTTGTTTCTTTCGGTCATGTGGATGGAGAAACATAATGGTAAGTGAAAATGAGTTACTCTGGGAACGAGCTCGAGAATAATAATAGCTGTGACTTGCTGCGGCCTTGAATCCTGCTCGGAAACTTGTCTCTTACCCGTTGCGTAAAGTCTTTCTCCATTTTCTTTCATATAGTCTGTGAGCGAAACGTTACTTGACACTCTTGAGAAGAATCTGGGGGAAAGGTTCACACCAAAAATAAAGGAAGCTTGGACTGCTGTTTATGGTAATCTGGTGAATGGAGAAGGTTCAGTAATTGATGAACATATTTCACTGGTACAAAACTCTTGGAATCTCGCGAAAAAGGATATCGAGAAATGGGGAGTTGAGTTCTATACGAGCTAACACCGACATAAGAAAAAGGTTGGAAACATTTTGTCTCACTGACAGCTGCATTTCATGCTAAATTCGCTACTTGAGATATAAAAGCAATATACCACACTTTCTTCTGGTTACCGGCGTAATAACCCACGCTGTTGGGAGAACGAGAAATCGTTCGTAGATCACGAGCCAGCGACGAGTGATTGACAGACTTCTCAGGTGTTTTCCCGTTGGGTCATTACGCTGGTAAACCAAGAGATTATGAAATTTACAACCTCATCCCCAGGGTCTTTCCCCGCCGTACCTCAAAGTAAGGGAAAAGGCCATGGGAACGAGTTTTTAAAGTTTATAATCTCTAATGCAAACCGGCTGATACAAAGTTTGGTGTATTTTTTTATATTAACTGAAAAGCTATGGGTTTACGGGTGAATTTAATAAACCGTAAGGTTTGGACCGATCAGAGTTCTCGTGGTATTTCAGTTATTTTATAAATGTAATTAATCATCTTATATTCCCATAACTCTCAATTTATAATTATGTAATGTCTCCATTTTACGATATTTGTGTAGATTATTTACAGGGGATCCTAGTCTGCTAAAGCTTTTTCCTTACATGGAGGACAAGTCTGTTTTTTACGCTATAAAAATCGACGACCGAGTGAAGAGGAAGGGACTGATAACCATGCAACATATCGATGAAGCTGTCGCATCACTCGAGGATCCAAACTCTCGAGTTTATTTCAAGAAATTGTCTAATTTCTGTCCTCGTAAATCAAAGGTAGATATTTAACGATGAAAAGATGTTGGTTTAGCGCATGCAAGTAATAAAACTGGAGGTAATTTTAAAACCCCTTTGGAAGCCTTTTTTTCTTTGTTAAGGTCTTAGCGGGCATCATTCAATGAGAACTAACAAAATTTCTTCAAAACGTACTGAAAGCGCGTAAACCATCGATAAATATGAACGTCTGATTCACCTCATATAGTTCCATATTCAAACCTTCCGCGCACGGATTTCGTACGCGCGTCACTTCTGAAAGTTCCGCGGTCCAGTTTTTATAGTCCCTTCTTGTCAGAAACGGTTCCATATTTAAATATTCATATTCTCCTGATGTACTTTATTTCGCAGTCGGTCGGTGCAGCATTATTTTACTCCCTCGAGAAGCATCTGGGACGGAAGTTCACAACTAAGGTTAAGGAATCGTGGTCTGTGGTGTTCGGAACACAAGCAGGAAATCCAAAAGATTCGGTCGGTGAAGAACACATTTCACTGGTTAAAGACTCTTAAAGGCAAATGAAAATTAGTCTTATCTTAAATTCCTTAAAATCTTTGTGTGACCTGGTGTTGTAAATCAAAGGGAAGATGTCACTAATTGTATTACGAGTTATGTTGTGACGTCATTTACTCGCGCGTCGTGTACGAGATATTAGACTTTACAGCCTGTTTAAGACTTGAGTTGTGTAAAATGGACCATTGAAACCTCGAGTAAGCTTTCCTCGCAATTGAATTCAAACAGTACAAATGGCATTTAACGCTGACAGATGTCCTGAAAAGCGCATTAACCACTTTCCAATTGAGAATAGACGTTTTCATTTGTTCTAATGCAAATTTCAAGACAGTAAGAAAGTCATTAAAACAACACAAACTGCAAAGTAAATAAAGAAGACTACCTAACTCGTCTCTTCGACTGTTGCCCGTGCTTTCAGCCAAAAGCACCTGGATTTGGTCATAAGTTGCGTTTGGTTTCTGCATATGTGTGATCAGATATTTACAAGCTGATTAGCTTCAACAGGCACATAAAGATCTCCCGGGTCGATAAAGGTACTTAGTTCCCTAGTTTGATGAAGTGTTTTGACACGCTTTTGACTTTAATCGTGCTGCCAAATAGTTAAAAACTAATAAGACAATCCTCGAAAAAACTTCCACACAAATAACTTACAGCATGAACATGACACCCACGGTCTTGGTTTCTGGAAGCTTTTCAAAGTTCATTATAAAAGCATAGTTAGAAGAAGCTCGCTTGTGATTGAAATATTTTGTTTATTCTTCATGATACCGAAAATTTATTAGCATTTTTGATATGTTTGTAAGTTGTCTTTTCAGCGAGAATTCGTTTATAGACTCCAGGAATTCACCAGAACATCTCTATTCCCTTTCTTGTTGTCCATAGGCTTAAGTTTTTATCTATAACCAACTGTCTCCCTAAGTATAATTAGGATTTCTGTAACGGTAGAATTGTATTCAGGAGCTTTTGATTCACGGTAACTAACGCATAACAAATTACCCTGAATTCCCGGCAGTACCTTGTTTCATGATAAAGTTAGAAATGAAATACGCTCGATTAGAACTGAAATGACACTAAAGATGGCGACTGACATGCAAAGCGAAAAGTTTCAAAACGAATTAGATAAGTCTAATAACTCATACACAGCAAAGCTTAAACATAATTTGAAGTTGTGTTGTTAAACACAGTTAGAATTGTTTCTTCACAGAAGCTGCTTAAACCAATGTTTGTCGACTTCAAATGAAGCACATTGAAAATTAAGTTAGCGATAACTTGAATCCAATGGGAAATTCAGTTTTTCAGTTCTCTGTTTTTGATTTTCAATCAGTTAAACCTGATCCAACTAAATATGTTTTGCTGGCGTGAATGGGATTTAAGTTGACTGATGTATGCAAGTCGTTTATAAAAGGATAGACAGGGAATCTTTCTTAATCCTGTCAGTTTTCGTTTGTATTTATTGCCAATTTTAGTTACGAAAAATTCTCTGCCAAAAATTTCTATTTTATTTATTCATTTATTTATTTATTTATTTATTTATTTAATGAGTTTCAGGTTTTTGGGGTGAGGGCGGAATAAACAATATGCAATTGATTAAGTGGATAAAAAAAGAAACCGCGTTAAAGAGCCTTTAATGGTTAGCATTGACATGTGTATGCTTCCTGGCTTTCAAAGCTTGAGTTCCTGACTGGCAAGGACAGAGCGAATTGACAAGCTCTTAGCTTCAAAGAACAAACGGATAGTCGAGCTTTACTAATACTGCGGCTAAATGAATGCTGGGATTGGCCGAGCCTGTACCGGGTCGTTTGAGGGGCAATTTATTTTACGCGGCCGCGGTCTCTGTTGTTGTTGTATGAGGTGCAGAGCCAAAAAGTTTATTTATTTATCTATTACAAATTCACTCCACAAGAATACACAAACAATTAGTATTAATTACAATTAAGGTTCATGATAAAAACCATAAAAGGAAAAATTGTGAAGAAGGAGACAACCACAGGCGCTGACGCACCATACAAGGGGTGCCCCCTCTAGTTAAAAAAAATTGAATATAGCAAAACTATATAGAACTATAAAAATAGATTCCCTAATTATCCTTATCCTTAATAAAACTTAAAACATTCTTTTAAAAAGTTTCAATACTATCTGATTCTCTAATGTGATTAGGTAAGCTATTCCATTCACCAACGATACGGTTAAAAAAAACTATATTTGAGACCAATGAATAAAGGCTGATAGTTCTAAAGAAACTGTTTGGGGTTGTGTCGATGGGGGTAACGAAATAATCTGAATATATTAGCAAAGTTGAAATGGTAAATTGGCCACCGTTACGATTATAAAAGCTGACGTTTCGAGCGTTAGCCCTTCGTCGGAGCGAATAGAGGAATTGTGGGTTGTGTGTGCTTTTAAAGGCAGAAAATGGAGCTACGTTATTCGTGGGAACATGGCAACGAGAAAAACACGAATAAATTAGTGGAATGAAAAGCGTTCGTTGATACCTGTGGGATTTAGACTGCCGGTTTGAAAGATGAGCTTTTGTTCAAGAGTTTTAGGGCTTTCCGTGCTACCTAAGTGTAAGGAAAGACCGCACATTGCCATATGTTACTTAGAATGATTAGGTAAATTAAAATGTCTAGCGACTGGTTTCGATGTGTCCTTGTCATTCCTCTCCACGTCGCGAAGGTGTTCTCGGAATCGGTCACCTAGTCTTCTGCCTGTTTCGCCGATGTAGATCTTTTTGCAATAAGTGCAAGTTATGCACTAGATTACATTGGCAGAGGTGCACTTGAAGTGATCGGTGTTCTTAATGGATCGTTTGGGTCCCGATATTTTCTCATTGCTGTGAATGAAAGGACCCGTTTTGCATCGTGCACGAGCGCATTTAAAAGTGCCTGGTTGGTCAGTAGTCTGAAAAGAAATTTTGACCAAAAAATTGCCTGTGTTTTTGTCGCGTTTGAATAAATTGTAATTTATTTGAATAAACGCGACGAAAACATAGGAAATTTTTTTGGGGGTTAGGTGTTAATTGGGACGAAAGTTCTGTTCCTTTCTCCTGCCACTCCGAAGGCGAATGGATTAAACTAAACTAAACTAATTTAAGATACAAACGCTAAAAGTCAAAATGTAGATTTGTTGGGATTAACGGTACCTGATTATCGCGTGTTACCAAAGCAAGAAATTGTAAACTCGTGAGTATACAAACTGTAATATATTCTCTCGACCGAAAGCTTTAATAATATAATGCAAGGGAAATGACCAAGAAATATCTCTTCATTCAAAAAAAGTGCCAAAATAGACCGCTTAGACCGTTTCGAAAAAAGACGAATTTCTTAATTGCATTCACGAGACTCGGGCGATATATCTCTAACCATTTTCACTGCATTACCGCAGTAGGGTAGGACTAGAACGGAACATATGCGAACCATACGAGTACTCCACCCAATAAATCCCACCCATCCCACCGCAGGGGAGAACATCCATCACACAGTAATCTCGTGCGTGGGAAATTAATGTCTCCTACCCCTAACCCTGTATTCATTATTGATGTCTACGTAACTTCACGGCCATAAAATCGCGTAGCGATAGATTGAAAATTCTGAAAGTTGAATGATTTAGAGACAAAATCTTCGATTGAACCTCACTTGAAGCCAGCAAGTTCCGCTTTCATTTTCTGGCCGTAGTCGCTTTTGAGAGTTACATTTTTCGTTACTTCAGAGCTAATTTCGTCGCTTTTAAGGCTTAAATTTCAATTATTCGTGGAATACGAAGTTTTCATTCGTGCTTCCAAAGGTCTACCTTGATAGGAATGGAACGGAAGAGGTAACAACTCATTGCAGAAGCAGCAGTGATCATGATAAACATATTGAACTTGCACATTTTGATTATGACTTGACGTTTCGTATTTACTCAACATACATTTTCAAAAGTAACCGTTGAAATATAAAACAGCTATGTATATGTTGTAGTTCAATTTTGTCCTCGGTTCAAATTTTATTTTCCTTTGTTTCAAACTCATTATCATACATTAACATGACCGAGAACAAAGGAAAATAAAATTTGAACCAAGGATAAAATTGAACTACAACATATATGTAACTAAGGTGAGGGGACTGTATGTTGAGTACATACGAAACGTCAAGTCAAAATCAAAATGTGCAAGTTCAATATGTCTATCACTGCTGTCTGTGTCTTATTTTTGATCAAATTACGATGGCCCAAGAACAAAAGTATTTACAACTCATTTCAGACTTCAGCACCAAACCACGAATTGGAAATAATTTCCACTTTCCCACACAGATAAATGATAGCCTCGAGCCATCATGGAAACTGACAAAGGTTTGAAAACAAACAAATTTAAGGAATTTGCGAAGCCTTTTTGGCTCTGAATTCCCTACAACAACAACAAAGATCGAGGCCGCACGAAAAAACATGCCCCTTGAGCGACCTGGTATAGTACAGGTTCGGCCAATCCTAGTGTTCATTCCCACCCTAGTCGTATTGTTGCGCTCGTACCCGGGGTCTCTCTTCTCCTGGCAGAAAGAAGAGTGAAACTGGGGAAGAGGTTCGAAAAAATCTCAACGCCATGAACGGGGTGTCTTTAAGGACTAGAAGCCTTAAACAAAGTGATAACTTGGTTGTGCACAGTCACCGGTAGATGTGTGGATTATTCCAAGTTTAACTCTTTTTTTTTTTTATCTCATCATTCTTCCTGAAATCGGTGTGCCACAGACACCCCCTCTGAACTTTTCCTCAAGTGCCTTCCGGAAGTCACGAGAAGGAACCATGTGGGTCAAGTTGTCACGACCATAAATTGCAACAATTCCTAATCCGTAGTTTCACTTTTAGTTCAAAGATGGGATGCGGAGGAAGCAAGGGAGTGAAAACCAGAACAGCACCAGCACCGGTCGCTGATCAGCTGGAACAAACTACTATTACCACTAGCTCAAAAGAGAAGACAAGCCCTTCAAACCACAGACAACAGCCCGACGGTAAGATAACAGAACAAACTTCAACAGAGGGTCGCCAAGAAATCCAAAAGCCAGCTGATGACGAACAAATTTCTCAGAAGCAGATTTCCTTGGTGCAAGAAACTTGGGGACTGGTGAGTGGTGACCTTGAAAAAGTGGGAGTCGACTTTTACATGAGGTAAGACATTCCGATGTTATTGAATCAGCTCACCCCTGGTAATTATATTAGTTTATTACAATTCAAGTTTAAAGTGTTCCCATTACATCAATGGGTGTACTGTATTCCATTTAAAAAGTGTCACCCTACGGTTTGCATGTTCTTTGAAGGGAATTTTCTCAATGTATGACGACAGCAAATCAGTAAAAGGATGTAACGTAGTTGTTCTTCTAGAACATATAGCGAGGTGTCTGCGTTTGATTTGAATTTGATCTCCAAATTAAAAGCATGTTCTTCGTCGCTCAATCCCTCAGTTATAGTCAGGCTTACTTGTATTATGATAATTAAACGAGAAGCCAAAGTTTGATGTGATAACGATTTTTTAAACTCACAAATCGATCTTAGTTTGATGAGAATATCATCTTGACTGTTACCAAATATGCTACCAAGCCATACACTGAAGTCAAACTGAATTGCGAAATAATCCGTTTTTAGAACCCTGCAGTTTTCAGCGATGCCGCATGCATCGGCAATGAGATTTGCCGGGTCGAGAAGCTTCGACACTGCATAATCAAAATTTTGAAAATTCACCACGAATGATATCCCCAAGTAGCTCTCCACTGACAAAAGACAATGGTTTACGAATGATTCATACTTATCAACTGTGAATTACCATGTAGGCAGGGAGTACTTTAGTTACAGTCGCGTGCCATTCCCTGAAATACATGAATCACGACTGGAATCACGAATTCAGTAACTTGTTAAGCACATTTCATAAAACAATTATAATCGTTTGGCCATGTGATCTAATCCTAAGAAACTGCGTAAGCCTGTGCCGGGCGTACTTGTAACCACCGCGGATGCGAAACTGAGCTCGAGTGGAACAGAGCGTGAAAAGTGAAACGCTTCGGACGCCTTTTACGTCCTCTTCCCCTTGTGAGCACCCCTTTTTTCAACAAAGACAAATTTGTAGAGTGTTTCTCATCTACCGCTGAAAGTTTTCTCAGTAAAAATTTTTGACAGTACTGTTTGATTTTTGTTTTTCCTCCTAGGTTATTTAAGGCAAACCCAGATGTATTACAACTGTTTTCATTCCGAGACATTGATAAATCATCCGATGACATCATGAGAGCGGATGATCGACTTAAGAGACAAGGACTGGTTACCATGCAACACGTCGACTTGGCCGTGAACTCACTGAACGATTTGGGTTCTATTGTTCCTGCTCTAAGGGACCTAGGCGGGAGACATGCGATGTACAAAGTTGAAGAACATCATTACGTGGTAGGAAATTAAATGTACAGAAATGTATATCATGTTTGTCGTACGAGTAAACAATACGATATCTGCAGTCACTGAACAATCATAGTCAAGTAGTCATTGAAAACTCAAAGCAAAATTCTTAAATTAAATAACTAGCATTTAAAGAGTTTAGAAATTGTACAGAGGAACCGTTCACAAGACCTCCTTGGGGTCATTTAAATATCTAGTTAGTCAGATATTCAGCAAAGACGCTTCAAGTGATGGGCTTGAAGCGTCAAGTAGACTTGTGCTTCTAGCTAGTTTTTAGTTATCAGGATCTTTTAAATTGCGAAAGTCATTAAGAAGAAAGGACAGCAGCTTAAAGGGTCAATAGGAACTCAGAGCAAAAACAATCAAATGCCTAAAGCGCGGGAAAACGCGGGCGATACCAAGTCGCGATTGGTTTTAATTTTTGCATATGATTGGTGAGAGAGTTGTCCAAGTTTTCTGGACCAATCACAGAACAAAGTAAAGCAAAACCAAATTAAAGCAACCCCGCATTCAAAATTGAAATTTGCCCTTACAGTACAGAAGTGCTGTTTTAGTCAACCTCGTTCCTAGGGCCTTTTCCCTTAGTTGGGGGTGGAGCATTTTGGTGGAGCGGGAAAAGGGTAAGGGTTTTCCCGTCCCAACCCCGCCCCACCCCCAGCTAAGGGAAAAGGCCCTGGGAACGAGGTTGTGTTTTAGTTAAATTTGGGTACATGTTTTTTTAACATTTTTTTTAATTTTTAGCTTGTAGGATCTGTTTTACTCGACACTCTAAACAATGGCCTGGGGGACAACTTTACGGTAGAGGTAAAAGAAGCCTGGACTGGTGTTTACGGAATCGTTGCGAACACGATGCAAGCAGGAGCAAGAGAAGTTCTCGAGGAATAGGAATAGCCAAGGGAAAATCAGCTCGTATACTCTTAACACACCAAATATAATCTAAAAGGGTCTTTCAATGATAAAACGTTCATTGCAGCGATTTTGCCTCATTCCGAGAGCACTAAAGGAGCAAGAAACATACGCGAACTTTCATGGTTTTGTTTTAAACAAAACAATTTGTGACTGTTACTCAGGCCAGAATGTATATATTACGATATTATTCGTCCTGTTGCTTGTTCATTTGAAAGCTTCTTTATTCCTCATTGTTTGCTTGTTAATTGTTAGATATGCATGATATATTCACGTTTAAATGCATACACTTTTCCTCATAATTTGCTTCTTTAAGCTTTGTTAAATATGAAAATAACGCAGATACTGATCTTTTTTTTTCTCTTTTTTAAAATATTATTTAATAGCTTTTGTAACAGTAAACAGAAAAATATGGCGATCCGTCCGACTCTTACAAGGTATATTTGCATAAACGAGAACAAAAGGAAGAAGAATGAGAAGAAAGAGACCTTTAACAGCTGCATCATTTATTCATGAAAATAGAAACGTGTTTGAATTTTTATTCCCACTAAAAATAATTTGTATTGTGTTTGATATAGCGCATTCGTTCAAAGTCATGCGGCACAATGTCACGAGAGCTATAGAGTCTTAGGCGCATGTGACAGGCTCAGGAAGACCAGAATATTAGAAATAATGATAAAAAACGAAATGACTTTGAATTTTCCTGAGCAAAAGATAGCCTGAAAAATGAAGACACATGGTTAAAAGGGCGCACAGCGATTATGAAAAATTGTTTTTTTGTAAAAATGGTTCTTTTCTTTGGCGCAGGCAGATCTTTCGAGCACAATGCTAACTTAAACATGCTATAATAACAAAGTAAATTTCACGTTCTCAGCCATACTGTGTTCCCCGAATAAGCGCCCATGCTCTGATAAGTGCCCCCCCCCCTGAATAAACGGCCATAATGTCAAACAAGCGCCCACTTTGAGTAAGGCGGCCCCAACCACCACCACCACCACCCCTTCCCGCTATTCCCTCAAGTTTTTTTAAAATTAGGGATAGAAGGAAAACCTCTTTCTATTGTCACTTTAATTATAACTTTAGAAGCTTCGACTAGAGCGGGATCAGTACATGTTGATAGTTTCTAAATAGTGCGTCCCCTCCTTTTTTCTGAAATTCTAACTAAGCCGCTCTCGAGCGTCCGATGATTTGGGCCCAACTCAGAGATTTCTTTAACCCAAGCCATCAGGCGAGTTTTAAAATGAGCTTTGAGAAGCGCCCAAAATATCTCCGTGCCTAAAAACATTAAGTACATTACTTTGATTATCACCTTGTAGGGCATTGCGAAATGAGAACTGATAAAATTGACATGAAAGTAGTCTGAACAATCATACACGCATGCAAGCTTACATCCGGCCAAAAACTTCAGTTCAACTTGCAAAATACTCCACCATTCCTTACAGAGTGATGAGAGTAATGGTTTTCCAGTTGATTAGTCTTGTACAGCGGGGAAAATTTGCGCAGGATAGGCAGTTTGGCTACTTAGTGAGTCTTTCTGGACAGGAACTGAGCACTGAACAGAAAGTATACTTGTGGTGGCTGTGGGTCCCAAAACTCGATTTACTACAATTAAGAGCAGTTTTGAATTGCGAACCAAAACGAAAGTACTGGAAACGGTCAATTAGCGCAAAAATAAACATCATCGTTTGTCAGTGAGAACCCTTAACAGACGAGCTGCGTAAAGCGGCGGAAACGGATGTGATCAAGTCACAGTTTGTTTTAGTTTTCCTCTTTATTGGTTGATAAAGTGGTGGGAAAGAAAAGGAAAGAAAGCAAAACAAAAGAAATTCCAGATTACTCTTGACTTGCAATCGAAATTTGCTTTATTCAGATAGAACGATGTTCTGTTGAACAGGGCCTCGATCGACAGTACACAGCGCTACAGCCCCACTGAAATTTCCCACAATTGCTCCCGGTCGGAAGTCATGGATCATATTTTCAACTTGACCTCCCGGTAGAAAAAGACGAAGAAGGCAAAGGAGTTGTCGCGACGACTATAATCCGTAATTTTACTTTGGGATGGGATGTGGTGGAAGCAAGGCAGTGAGAATCAAAAAAGCACCGGTACTGATCGCTGCACAAGGACAAACTACTATAACAACTACTTCCACAGTTACACAAGAGAAAACCAGCCCTTCAAACTACAGGCATCAGGTCGATGGTAGGATAATAGATGACAAAACTTCGACATGAACTTCGGTCATGAAGAAACTCAGAACCCGGACACAGCGTTAGAAGACCTCAACGAGCCAGACACTCAGAAGCACATTACCTTGGTACAAGAAACATGGAGACTTTTGAAAGGTGTTGAAAAAAGAACGGAGTAGAGTTCTACATGAGGTAAGTCATCTCCAGTGGAATTTCACTCAGCTAAGCCTTTGTTGTGATAATCTATTGCATTTCAAGTTTCAAGTGTCTCCTTTACATTTATGGCTCTATAGTAATCCATCCAAAAACTGAACCCTTTTAATCTTCATGTTTATTAAGGGGAAATTTTTAAAGGTCACAGTGGACACAGAAAGTGTATACAAGGAGTTATACAAGTTATACAACAAAGTTGTTCTTTAAGATTTTATAGCTAATTAGCTGTATTAAATCCCCAAATTACACAAATGTTTTTCAAAGCTTAATCCTTCCGTTACAATTGCACGTACAGTGGAACCTCGATTTAACGAACCTCTGTGTAACGAAGTCCTCGGTATAACGAACGATACTTCAGTTTCAGCCCGGCTAAAAGTTACAGTGAAATGTATGCCACAGAACCTAGATATAACGAACCCTCGATATAACGGACTGATTTCCCCAAACCCTTGGTACCTCGTTAAATCGTGGTTCCACTATATAGATATTTATCATCCGTAGAGTACAAATAACGCCCAAGAAGAGTACAAATATCACGCGGTATTTGTACTCCAGAGAACCGGTTAGACAGATTTTCTCTCATCGCGCTAGCGACCAATTGGATTGAAGTTACAAAAAAATAATAGCGGACGATTTAAATGGCTGGCGAATATTGATCCAAGTTGATTAGATACATGGAACGAAGAAAAGCAGCCAGACGACAATGAAATTTCATCATTTATTGAAGAAGATTGAAACAGCAAAACCACAACGCGCCACTTCCGTTCCGCTTCGCATACTTCTGTTACGCACTCATCGTCAATAATTGAGAAGTCTGTGGAGCATGGAGAGCTCAATATGTTTTCTTTTCTTTTTGTCTTAATAACTAATGTTAACTAAGAAATCAAGTTTTACAGCAATTTTTTTCTTTCTCTCTCCCTTAGGCTATTCAAAGTGAACCCAGAAACTTTTCAAATGTATTCATTCGGAGACATTGACAGATTATCCGATGCCGACAAGATGAGAGATGATGATCGATCGACTCAAGAGGCAGGGACTGGAAACCATGCTTGTCGACTTGGCCGTGAACTTGCTCAGTGATCTGGGCTCTATACTCCTGCTCTCAAGGATCTATGGGGGAGACATGCCAAATACAAAGTCGAGAAACGTCTTTACGGGGTAGGAAACAAGATTTACGGAAAAGCATACCACTTAACGCTACATTTGTAGCCAGTGGAACATGACAGACTGGAATACTTCAAATGATCGCTTTCTAATCGCGCGTTTTTCGAAAAATCTAAACCAAAGTTACCTTATTAAAACAACAGCCGATCAGAGCGAAGTAAGCATATCAAGTATGAATTAAGAAATGAAAATTAAAACAAGTAAATTTCCCGAAGCGCGGAAAAATGCGACTGATTTCAGTTTTGCATCTGGATGGTTGAGCGCGTTGCGTAAGCTTTTACACCAATCACAGAGCGATTTGAAACAAATCATGTGGATAACACGAGTCCATCACACTTTTCCTTTGATGGTCAGTTAAAAGTCTAGTAGTCCTTCAATCATTAACCCCTGTCCGTGTCTATCCACTAACAACGGGCCATTCACCAATCAAAGTTGTGCGGGTGGTATCGAGATTTCTTTTAAGATCCCTCTCTATTAAAACATACTCCACGTGAAATTATCAACGCTTGAGATCTCAAAAGAGTTTTTAGGCCAAAATAAAACTGCAATTTTACTCGAATTTGTCTTAGATTTTTTTGTTTTTTTTGTTTTGTTTTTGTTTTTTTTTTATCTTTAAGCTTTTTTGGGCCGCTTTACTTAACACTCTTGACAAAGGACTGGGAGAGAAGTCTACATTGGAAGTAAAAAGAAGCATGGATTGTCGTTTATGGAATTGTTGCGGATAAGATGCAAGCAGGAGCGAAAGAAGTCCTCGAGGGGTAGATCCCAGATGATAAAAATATTCTGCACAGGTCCTTAGCTTGTAGTGATGGCGCCGAAAGAGCAAAACAGATGCGTTCATTTTTACCGTTTCAACGAACAAAAGGAAATTTCTGCCTGCGAGCCGACTGTAAAAATCAATGACTTTTGGACTTGCTGAGCTGAAAAACTCGTTTACCTGTTTTATAAACACTCCTCAGTTGTGCTTTTGTAAATAATGATCAGCCCTTCTTCACCTTGTAAACATACGTTTTTTCCGTTACCACATATGTTGACTTAAATCATAAGCTCACTGAAACCTAAATAATGAGAATGATGTTTTCATTTTGATTTAGCGACCGGTCTTGATTCTCGATATATGTGACGAGGTAAAGACGAACTCCATGGACTGTCAATAGCTGCTTAAGCTGTAAGGAAAATTTATTTATGAGATAAATATGATTTAATATCTGCATTAAATTGGATTTGTTGGTAAAATGAATCGTTGTAACTTCAAGGTCATTCAAGGTTGTATGCTACTCTCTCTTACAATCCGTAGAAGTCTGGGCTCAACTCCACCAAGGTGACACAACACAACCAACTCAAAATGGTCGCCGGAGCGTATGCGACGAGCCCAAGAAGGCGCAAAACGTACAGAAATGGCTACTCTGCCAAAGCTAATGGATTTGCAGCTCACGAACAAGCAAAACTTAAAGAATTTAAAGAGTCCTTTACGGAAGATTTCGAGGATACTCCATTTCAAGTTGCTGTTTTGACCTATCTATCTTACTTCTTTTTGATTCTGTTCGGCTACTTACGTGACTTCATGCGAAAATACGGTTTGGAAAAGTCAAAAGCACCGAAAGAGAGCGGAAACGAGGTAAGAGCGTTATCTTAAAGTGCTATTATTTACCAAGAAATGGTCATAGCTTGCTGAAATCGTTACAAATTTCAAGATCGGGCACACTTCTTTGATGTCAGCTGTTGTTGATGTAGAACCACGACTCGCTCGCAGTTTGTGGGCGTCAACCGAAATGATTTCTCGCCAAAAGCTGCCTTTCACCAAGCCTTGATTCTCTGACTATGCCTCCCATAAAGAAATTCGCTAAGCGAGGAATGATTTTTCCTTGGGATGTGAATTTATTAACCGATTTATTCTCAAAATATTTCTTCGCGTTCTTCGATCGATGAAGCACGCTTCGTTTCGCAATGTTTTGACGGTTACACGCATGGGCAAATAGAGCGATGTTGTCATCGAACAAGAATTTAGAGGTCCAGTGGTCAGTCATAAATCCAAATTATAGCAATTTGATAACATCTAGATGTCACATACTGCCCTAGCAGTACAATATGTCTGCTTAAAACCTGTAAAATTATGATGGAAAGGTGTGCTATTGCATAACTTAACCTTTCAGGAAGATCACCATACTAAGAAAAGATATCTCGCTTGGGAAAATTAGCTCTCTCCTTTTTTCTTTTCCGATGGAATCAGTTATGTCAACTCTTAATCCACCGAAAGCTGTTTCACAGCAGTTTTTATTTATAGCTGTATTGTCTTAATTTTTTGCACTAGAAGATGTCAAAACAGTACCATACCCCTAGGCTAATAAGTTTCTTATTTTTATCCTCTGTTTGTTGGGTGCGGATGTGCCTTGGGCTGTCTTTTAGGCTAAACTTCAGAATACCCAGCCACTCATTTGCATGTCCTGAATAAATAAGAATAGCATCTATTGTGTTATTCCTCATTCTTCAAAGCCTTCTGACACATGTGCATGCGTGGATGGGTATTCTTAAGCTGCTCCGTCTTTTATTTTTGAAGCAGCCATTACATTGGAGATATCACCCATAGCAGTGTAATTTATAGCATAGTATAACATTACAGCAACCAACATATTCACTTGTAGTAAAGGGTAAGCTCAGCTGCAACAGGTATTACAGGCTATGGCCCTTATTAACAGCCCTGTTGCTATCATGAAAATGCAAGAGGTCACATTGAAATTATCTTAGTAATCCAAAGGGCTGAAGTTAGTAAATAGTATGTGATTTTCAATAGGGTAAATGTGTTTCAAATTTTAGGCGAAAAGTTAGATGTTTATATATTATAAAAGGGGGTAAGTTTCCTAAGGAACCGCATATACAGTGTTGCATCAGTGGGGGGTATAAGAAGGTAGTTTGGTTTTATTTATAATTGGGTTAATTTTATCAACTGGTAACTGTAAAGAGCTTCTAAAGCTGAAATTTCAAGTGTTATCCCATTATCAGCCTGAATAGGATACCTGTTAGGTTGCAAGGCGTTTTAAGCATCAGCCCTTTATTAAAGCAATTAAGAGCTTGTTTTGATCAACCAAAAGAACAACTCTCTGAAAAAACCTGAGCCAACAGTTTGCCAACAGATGGCTGACAGCTTTTTGTGCCTACTATGCCTAGTGGGTAGGCATTATGTTATGGTGTCATGCATGTAAGTCTGTAAAACCTTCCCCCAAGCCCTTCATGGGTTTCAAAATGGCAGACTATTGCGAGACACTTGTATCATCTCTTCTGACTCAGTCTTGTTCAGTTCCAACACTGACCATTGTTGAACAATTCTGGGTTTCTTCTGATTCTTTCTAGTTTTTTTCAGGTTTGGTGTTTTTTTTTTGTTTTTTTGTTTTTTTTCAGGCCCTCACCTCTTCATTTTGGCATTGTAATTGATACAAACATCAGAGCTACATTGTCAAATTAATGTTCATACATGTGTGTTTACACTGAAGATATTTAAGATACTTTAAAGAAGAAATTAAATTGAAATGAAAGAAAAAAGAAAGAAAGAAAGAAGTTACACAGTATAAAACTGGGAAAAATTCATTTTGGCTCAAGTGATATTCTTTGTCAATAAATGATATTTTTTTTTATATTGTTTGACCCTCAAATATGCAAAATTATACAATTCATGTACATGTAACTCATAGTCCTTCAGAACTCTGTTATTTCATATCTCAACTTGTCAGTGTGTCTTCAGTAGTGACAAGTAGATGTAGTAGTTTGAAGTTAGAAGTTTTATGTAAGCAACACTCTAAGGTTACTTAACTAACTGTCCTTTTTTCTCTCTTTAGGGTTTTGTCCCTCTTTATGCAGATTTTGAAAGTTTCTACACAAGGAATCTTTACACTCGAATAAGAGATTGCTGGAACAGACCAATCTGCAGTGTTCCTGGTGCTGATATTGAAATTCTTGACAGAGTCACTGATAATTATGGATGGTCCTTCCGGTATGTTGTGGATACCTGAGTGTATTAAGGTTTTTTTTTTTTTTTGTAAGAAAATTAGGAAGAAAACTTCAGGATCTATGAAGTCTGCTTAAATTGTCAGTAATAATTATTTAGGTACTTGCAGATGCCTGAGATGACACTGCACCTCAATTTACATGACCAAAATAGTCAAAAGTCAAAATGTTAATTTTTTTTCCTCCAAACTTAAGGTATCTGTCCTTATGGGAGTGGGGAGATGGGGTGAGATTTTTCAGCTTTTATACCGGTTTGTTAATTTTGAACACCTTATCTTTTGAAATTCACCTCCACTCTGATTTTCAAAAGGCCCTCAAAAGAGTTGGTAAGGAAACTTTGTAGAATGATACATCATTTTTTGGGATAGGTTGCCTTATTAATTGTACCTTGTAAACAGTGAGTAGAAATACCAAGGGCTTCATAGGACTTTCTTATCAGAGGTCACACAACTTTTAACTCTTGGATTCTTCATGCCAACTACTTAATTACTTTGGCCTCCATCTTCAAGCATTCAAGTCATAGAGCCGTTCATAAAACCTGAACTTAGCTCAAATTTAAATTATTTTTATATGTGTAAATGACCACACAAAATGTCCAGCCATTCAAGGAGTTGGCTGATCAAAACCTCTCTTTGGCCAGTCATTGTCTGTCGAGAAGCCATCATTCTAAGCCATGATCTTGCATTCTCAAGTTAGTGGAGTCAATTCAGAACAACACACTCAGTTGGAATCTGAGTTATGGAGCTAATGGCAAGGCAGCTTTATTGACGACTGATTGAATTAATTACATACCTTGTGTATTTTTCTCCTTTTAGAAAAACAGGGGAGACCACAAAAGCCCTTAATCTTGGTTCTTATAACTACCTTGGCTTTGCGGAAAATGTTGGTCCATGTGCTGAGGCTGCTGAGAAAACAGTTCTTAAGTATGGTTTGGGAGGCTGCAGTCCAAGGCATGAATATGGTGAGTCGAATAAGGTTTCAGTGGCAGGAAGTTTTCAGGAGTGCAGTAGGTGTAAAGGATTATTATTACATGACTTGGTCAGTCAGAGGGCCAATAACTAAAATCAACCAATCAAAATGCTCTCTTGCCAGTCAATATTCTCTCATTATTACACGACTTGGGCAGTCAGAGGGCCAATAACTAAACTCAACCAATCAAAATGCTCTATTGCCAGTTTTCAGGAGTGCAGTAGGTGTATACTCCAAGCTAGGAGTAGGACTGTGTGTTACAACAACTTTTCTCTATAAGTGAAAGCTTTTATGTTTTTTTTTTAACTGAATATCTGGATATCCAGGCAGAAGAGATGACAACAGAGATTTTTATAAAATACTGATACGAAGAATTCATTAATTAAGATTCAAGTACTCCAAATTGTCAAAAAGTCTGGTAGCCCAGACTGTTTGACAATTTACAGACTATCTGACTATTTTAGCTTTTTTATTCGTTATGGAGGCCAATTTACAATTTCAACTGAGTTGATAGAACCAATTTACTGTAATTTCCGGCCGTTTACCCGCGGGTAATCTGTTAATTGTGCCTTAAACATGTTCCACTGCGGGTAATAGGGAGACGCGGGTTATGTGACAATTTTGAAAACTACTGGTGGTTGAATTGAAGAAAATTCTCACGTACCTGCGTTTCCACCTCTCAAATGAATTTTAATGTATTAAGAGTGCCACAAAGCGGCATGAAAACATGATGCTGACTCAAGTTTATTTCATGCACAATTAGTTGCGTGATGAACAAATTACTATCGGCGCACGTGTAAACAAAACCTTGATGGTGAAAAAAATAAACCGAGGATAAACCCTGCATCAGTAATAAATTTCCAGTTAAACACTAGCTTCAGCTGAAGAGAATTTTCCCATTTTAAGGGACTTGTAAGGCCCAGTAGAACCAGAGATATCGATTTTTTTGAGAAATCAATATGGCGCTGAACGATCATTCACACAAAATGTGGCCACGAATTCGCATTCTGTAAAGTATGCAACGTTGTGAATTTTAGAGCACATTTGTACGAAGTTCCTTTGTTTTTAAGGTGCGGGTTATCCATCAGTGCGGGTAATCTGTTGACTTTTTTTTTTTTCACTGCCTGCAATAATCGGCCGGTGCGGGTAATCGGCCGTGTGGGTAAATGGCCGGAAGTTACGGTATATTTGACTATTTGCTGACAACAGAGATTTTTATAAAATACTGATACAAAGAATTCATTAATTAAGATTCAAGTACTTGAAATTGTCAAAAAGTCTGGTAGCCCAGACTTTTTGACAATTGGCTGACTGTATGACTATTTGACTATAATAGCCCAGACTATTTGACCACTGGTAGCCCTATTCTATCCCTCACCAGTTTGACTAAAGGATTTAAAATTTATAAAAAAAAAAAAACACCAAAGCCATTTAAAGTAAGCTAACTAAAGGTTGATTTGCAAAATAGCAGAGTGCCCCAGATTTTTTATATCATAGCCTTCACTTGGTGAATTTACCTAAAGTACAGCTTTGGTAATTCTTGTCTCTCCTCTCCAGGCACTCTTCACATTCATGATGAACTGGAAGCTCTTGTGGCTCGGTTTCTTGGCAAGCCTGCCGCAATAGCATTTGGAATGGGTTTTGCTACAAACTCCACCAACATACCCACACTAGTGGGGAAAGGAGATTTGATTGTCAGTGATGAATTGAATCACTCATCTCTTGTTCTGGGAGCCAGATTGTCTGGAGCTAAAATTAAAGTCTTCAAACACAATGGTAAGACCACTGTATTTGTACTTATAATGTATGTGCTCTAGAAAACTCTTTCTCATTACAAGTTTGTGTTGATTTTTTTTTTCATCTCTGTGGATGGAGAGGTAAGTGCTGATTAAGATGAAGATTTTAGAAACCAAAGAAGCTCCATAACAGATCTGGGAACTATTTGAAAGTTACTTTAAGTATGCAGTTACATGTATAGGATAATAATCTTTCAGAACAATACCTGGCTAAGCCATAGGTGAGAAGTAAATAACTATGGTAAATACTGCAGGCCATTTTACAAGAAACTCATCATAATTATAATCCAGTGATTAGGTACTGTATTGAGAAATTTTATTTGAATTTTAGACATGAAAAGCCTTGAGGATATTCTTCGTGAATCTGTTGTTCAGGGACAGCCACGCACTCACAGACCTTGGGGAAAAATTCTCATAATTGTTGAAGGAATTTACAGGCAAGTGTAAAGTGAGGTAAAATGTAAGGTGGACCATTGCAGACCCAAGGCAATGCTAATGGTGTCATGGTAAAATGTAACATCAGGATTGGTTGAATGAACTAGCTGGGTCTGATGGGGTTTTGTAGCTCCACTGTGATGGTGAAACGCTTTTAACTGGAAGAGTGATTAGCATCCAATATTTCCTTACAACATCACTCCGGAATCAAACAATAAGGTCACAGAGAATAAAGGAAATGATCATCAATTATAAAAGCTCCTGATTGTTAAACAAATTCTCTTGTCAACACCTCAGCAAATGTATAGAGGACAGTATGGTGAATATGCATACTGATAAAAGGATGTTAAGGATTAAAACTACTGATGTGTTTATAAATACTATGATATCTTTTTAAATATTGATAGCTCAGTCCTTTCCAACATCTTAGAGATTACATTGGGACTTTTCTTTGTTAATGACTTTGCTGCTTTATGTTTGCTTATTTATGAGAAAATCAATGATTTTTAGTCTTTGATCGAAGCATACATGTACACCCATTAAGATTGAACCAAAATACTGTATATGGAATGGTACTGTAATCTCTAATTCCAGACCCAGAGATATTAATTGCAAAACATTGTGGCACTGTAAATATCTATACTTTTCCCCAGTTCAGTGTGTGCCACTAACTTTCTAATTAATTTTTCTTATCTCTAGTATGGAAGGTTCAATAGTGAGATTGCCAGAGGTGGTAGCTCTTAAAAAGAAGTACAAAGCTTATCTTTTCCTTGACGAGGCCCATAGTATTGGTGCCATGGGCCCAAATGGAAGGGGTGTAACAGACTACTTTGCCGTAGATCCTGCTGATGTTGATATAATGATGGGAACTTTCACAAAGAGTTTTGGTGCCGCTGGGGGTTACATTGCTGCAACTGAGGTCAGGATTGAAAAGTTTGTTTCTCTATCTAAAAAGGGGAAGGGTGGGAGGGGTGGGTATGGCAAACACCAAAGTGACCCCTCATAGCCTACTACATTCTCCTTTCAATTTGTCTAGTAGGTACGTAGGTAACTTTATTTCAACTCTGATTGTTGAGGCTGATTATGCACCTAGCAATACACACTAATATGCTGAGCACACCTACCCATCCCACTCCAAGGGAGGACATCCACCACACAGTAATCTCATGTGTGGGAAATTAACGTCTCCTACCCCAAACCCTGCAGGAGATGGGGCCTACGGTTTATTCGTCCTTATCTGAGAAGACTAGAATATCTATCCATTTCTTGATATTACAAGGTAGCAAATTCTCCTCAGTTATTTTAAGACAATGAGTGTTGGTCCGGC